GTCTTCGCTGCTCCTGTGTCAATGCTTGCAATTACTCGTTTTTGGTCGATGTGGATGGACTCGCGGACATTGGGCAGTCAAGTGAGTGCTGGAAATATTTACAAGTTTTTGCTCTTTGGGTCTTTAGAAATTGTTCTTTTCAATTTTGTCCTTTTCACTTCGTTAATAAAGTCCCTTGTTTTTATCTTTGTCTCAATAGGGTCCGTCTTTTGCAGTTTTGACTATACAACATTAATCATTGGATGAACGGCTTCATCTATTATCAAGAACTCTATCATCCAATGATTTATCCTTTATAGTACAACTTGCAAAACACTTTTGGTTCTATCATCTAAAACTATTCTATGCTTGAACTTAATTTTGAGTCTTAAACTTGAAGGTGTTGGGTCATCCTCTTAATAAATTTAGTCATCAATTCAACCATTAAAAGTGTCCTCCTTTTTTTTTTTTTTTTCTTTTATGAAAAGTTAACTAGATGAATATATAGAAAATGTTAAAACATTGATAAAATTTACAAACTCAAAAGTTCTATAGGACTCATGGTGGGAAGCTTGTTGACTACTTTGGATTTAAACAAAAGGTCCCTTCTACTCTAGTTGTTGAGGATTGAGGATTGAGAAGTTAGCACTTTGCTCCCTTGGGGATGTGTAAAGTTGTTTTTTGTTAACAACGAAAAGCAACGCTAATGATCTATTAGTTCAAATGGAAAGAATTCAATTTTTTTTTTAAAATAAGATTTCGAGTTTTAATATTGTAATTGGAGAAATAAGTGCTAGAAAAACTTCTCCTCTTATGAGATCCCTTACTTGACTTCATATTAGTCAAGACCCAACGTACCTTTTGGATATTGAGGGGTTAATATATATATATATATATATATATAAAGCAAACCTTAGCAGATTGTAACCTTGGTTCATGACATCTAGACTTTGTGTAGCTCTTTTTCCTCTGCATTTGTAATTGTGAGTAGAAAGACTAAGGGGGATTTTTGCTTAGGGAGGCAAATGATGACTAATTTTTTTATAAATTTTTAAAATGAGGAATTAGTTTAGATACATACATTAACTGGCTCAGAGGCATTTTAATAGTTAAAAAATAACTAATCAATGGTTTAAATAGAAATAATGGTTTAAATAGAAAGAATTTAATTTCTATTAAATAAAATTTTAAATTTAATTTTTATAAATAAAAAAATAAGTATGTAAAGAATTTTTTTTTATAATTTGACCAGAAATAAAAAAGAAAAATAAAAAACCAATTAGTTAGCTGAGCAGGTATACGCGCCATTAGCGGATACAGGAAAGGGGTTGGGGTTTGCGCGCCCACAAGAACGGTTGCCATCCACTCTTTCTTCACCGGGTTCAACAATATATACAAACCTCAAACCCCTTTCTCTCTCTTTCTCAAAGGAACACAGTGCACAGCAATGGCGAGTGGGGATGGCAACAGGCCCGATGAGGTTATGAGTCCCTCCTCATCTCTGTTTCGGCGAATGGTAGGAACGAGAATCCACGTGGAGATTTTTTATGGGAACAGATTTTGTCTTATCCTCGTTCTTCGGAAAAAACAGTGATCCATGTCCATTTATACCAAAATATAAATTTTTTACGTCTAATTAACAATATTTAATTATAATGAACGTAATTTTAAAAATTAAGTATAATTAACTAAAACAGAAGTTACAGAACATTCCTCCCTGGCCCGCTCCCATGGCCGGGATCCCCGCGGGGGGATGGGAGCAAATTGCCACCCCTAAATTGGCGAGGGAGCGAGACATAGGTAGCTGGACCGATCTCCTCCACTCTTCCACCAAGCTTCTCGAACAATCGGCTCCTTCTGCCCAGTTCCCTCTTCTTCAGGTTCTTTCTTCTCTTTCTTTATCCACATTCTCATTTCATTTCCCTCGAAAAAATTTCATGATCCCGAGCTTTAGTTTCTTTAGAAACAATAGTAAGAATCTTTTTCTCACTGTTTCGAAATTGATATGATCATCTGATTTTTATTTTTTTCATACATTGGAAGTTAGTTGCTTAGTATTGCAGATGTTTGAACCTCTGATCTCGACCTCAAATCGAGATTTTTATAATTGGTTCCAACTCGACTAAACTCTCGTTGATTTGTGCAGCTGATTTTTGTTGATTTTGGTTTTATAAACTGAATCTGTTTCAGAGGAACTTAGATCAGTTAGAGGCTCTGTCGAACAAGCTCAAAGCAAAAACTTTAAGAACTGAGGTTCCTTCTCAATCTATTGCTGCCACAAGGTACTTTCTGTAATTACTTAAGGTCTCAGTAACTGTTAATTAAGAATGCTAAGAGGCAGCTGTGTAAGACTCGGAACGAAATCTTAAGTTAGGATGCGAAGATGGACTTCAAAAATTGTCTAAGAGGACCTTATATTTAGACTTAGTGATAGATGATTCTAGTCCTTAATGTTCTGTGGTTTCATTTATTTTGCTGTTCTTTGTTGCATTTGAAGGCTACTTGCACGTGAAGGATTAAATGCTGAGCGGCTTGCTCGTGATCTGAAGTCCTTTGAATTGAAGGTAATAATTCTTGGCTGCAATCTAGCTAACTTAAAAACCTTTTCTGAATAGCTGTCACCTGTCTTGTATCTCTGCAAGTGGCTGTATATTTTTCGCGTATAGGTTGTAAGTGATGATGCATTAAAAGAAATCTTTCTTTTAAAATTCAACAATGGTTTTTGTTGCTCTCTATTTATATTCTTTAAATACTACTTTCTTTCCTCTGTAAGATGCATGATTTGACGAGTACAATACCAGATGTTGCTTTTGCTTTCATATTTCTACTTTTCTTTTATGGTAATCCCATAGCTTACTTTTCTTCTTATTTGTAACCTTTTTTGAAGACAACATTTGAGGATTTCTTTCCTACTGAGGCAACGACTGTTGAAGAGTATCTGCAACAGGTAGCTTTTTCAGTTTCGATTGACTGCAAAAATGCAAAACAGTGATGTCTCTAGATTGATACCTCAGTCTTTCTATATTCATTATCACATTTCTATTGGGTAGATAAGCAGGTGATTTCTGCAATAGAAATGATCAATAAGGAAATTTTGGTTGTGTCTGCTTAGCATGAGATGGAATTGGGCTAATATACTTATACTGTAGTTAGGTGGACAACTTGACCTTGTGAATGATCTTTTTGCTTGCCTCGTGAAATCATAAATCTTCAAGTTTTCTTGCAATTGTTTTGTAGGTTATAGGATAATGTTCCTTTTTTATTGAAACTGGCAAATCAACCATTTTATATGGTCTGGGTTCTGAAGTATATGGTGGGGCATATTTCTGCACTGCAGTTTTGCTTTACTTCATAATGTCTTTAAAGTGATTTGCTGGTCAATTGTCCTAATTATAGTTTTCACTTTGCTATTCAGTGCTTGGTTGGTGATGGTTTGTGTCTTTGAAGAATTCATGAAAATTAAAATTAATGGATAAATAATTATGACTGAAGTATGAAGGCACTCAAGCTGATTTTATTGTGAGTGAAATTACTGAGGAAGAAGCTGCTTAGATGCTTGTTGGCGAGAAAGGATAAACTTTCAATGCTTTTGCAAGGAGTAGTCTAACACGAGGTTATCTGCTATTATCAGCACCCTATTCAAGTTCATCTTTGGAAATCTCATTTGTGATTATCATAAAATGGCTTTTATTATTCTGTCAGATTGTTGGTTCTGTATTTTGAGCAAGGATTTTTGTGTCTAGTATGGCTGTGCTATTCTTTCTGTATTGGTAAATATTAAAGTAATTTCGTGGCTCCTTAACACAAAGTCTTGTTGCTTATGTTTCTTTCTGGTGTTCTTGGTGCTTATGTTAGAGAATGGTTGATGGTCATGTTTTATGTAATGTGTAATATTTTCAACTCAGGTTCATGAAATGGCAATGGTGTCAGCCATCCAAGAAGCTCAAAAGGATAATGTCAGAAGTTTTAATGATTACACGATGAAGGTTTTGGAGGTTAGTATGATTATGACCCATAATTTATGGGAATCTAGTGGTGCTCATATCTTGCAACTTCTAAATCCCTCACAAACTCCCTGGCATCATAAGGTTCATTCTTATCTTAACTAATAGGATCATTGTTCAGAGTTCATCATACATTTTATTAACATAACCTTGGTGTGCTGGTTTGGTGCATCAAATAGTTTGAGAAATCTGTTCTTGTCCTTATTACCCTTGCCTTTTCCATTTGGGAGATTTTGAGAAAATGAAAGTGTATTTTTTGTTCTGGACATTTAAAATGATGAAGCTAGGTGAACTAACCTATTTTGACATATTTATTAGGGAGTATAATGCTAAAATGACTTGGCAATGCCTCAATTTTTTTTTTCTTGCAATAAGTCAATAGCTATGATGGTAGCTGGGATCAATGACTCTAGTTTTTTCTTCTTCTTTCTTTTAAACTTAATTAATTGGTGTTATCCCATTGTCTTACAGGAAGATTGGAAAAAGGAAAAAAAGATGTGATTTCCTTCAGAGCTTAAGCCGGATTTCAACTTTACCCAAGGCTAACATAATTGATAAAAGTGCTGGTGGCACTCCTCCAGCTCAACTTGTGCCCACTGCTTCTAGTCCTCAGGTTTCTTCTGCTCTTTGCATGGAACTTGTACCTTTAGCTAGTAGGCCAATCCTGGAGAAAAAGATGTCAGTTTATGCTGAAGTTGTGAGGAATCTGAACAAAGCAAGAGAATGAGGCTTGCCATTTAAAGTAAGAATAGTTTTCTTTCCTTTTTAAGTTATGAAAGATGTTTTGTTATCATTTCGAACTTTGAAGACTATCAGATTGAGTTGGTTTTAATGATTTATTTCATACTCTAATAGTCTGCAAGTGATTGAAGTACATGTAAATTGCCTCAGGAGGTTGTTCAGTGTTGTTGTCAAGCTGGCAGTATGCTTATTTAGTTGGTTTGCATGCCAGCATCCAGCAATATCTTTTTGTTCTTTTTTGTCATAAGTTTCCCCATAGTGATTACCATTTTGCACATCCCTTTAATTTAGCATCTTAGTTTCACGTGTGATCTATTTCTATTTGTATTGATGTAGCCAGCAAAATACTTTAAGAGTGCTTATGAGAGTTTGAGCATCAAAGCATCCGGTGGAAAATCAGTTAACATGCAAAAATTATGGCACCTTATTCAGGTATGGTACGTTCTATTGTTTTCATGTTCCTTGCTATCATTATATATAACTGATAATGAACTCAATAATTTGACAGACACTAAATGGTGAGGATTATGCTATGCAACCAAGTGTTTCAAGAAGAATGTCATTGGTAATTGGTGCAAGGCACCACCTGGAATGGGGGCATGGAAAATATATCATGGATACAATTAAAAGTCATCCCGCACAAGTATGATTTTTACCTGTAATTATTATTTTTATTATTTTTGCTTCAATTGATTGATCTGAAAAGCTAGCCTTCTGCTTTTGCTTCTATAAACAGAAAGTGATGGTTGTAAACTGTAAAGTAGTTGTAATGCTTCTGCTAAAGCTTATGCTGTCTTTGTTTATTTTTTATCTTAACATAGCTGCTCTTGCTGGAGCTGTCGGAAATTTGCAGAGAGTTCGTGCCTTTCTTTGGGTCTGCCTTTCTGTGCATCTTCAACTTGCATGTTGCACTCTGTTCCTTTAGCCTCCGTGTCTTCTGAGAATTTTGGTTTCATATTTGTCTGTGCAGATACGATTTAGAGCATATTTGGTGAAGTTTGTAAGTGTTTCAGTTTTTTGATACTTTCATGTTTTATACATTTAAATTTTCCTCTTAAAACTTACAATTTTAAACATCTTTTTAACTTTAAAAAGATCTTAATAGTAAATTTTGAAAAGTTTCAAATTTTTACTTTTTATAAACTTTTTTTATTCACTTTTTATTATTTTTAAAAATAATTTTTAAATTTTTTCTCTAATAAAAATTTAAACTCATAACTCATAAACAATACTAAAAAAATAAAAGTTCTAAAAAAACTCTACCAAACATGCCCTAAGGAACATAGTCCTAAATTTTGATAATAAGATATATAATAAGAGAAAATTTTTTCTTTTCAAAACCTCTTATTACTCATTTTAAAATTTAAATTTGAAATATTTAATATAAAAACTTAAAATTTTAAGTATTGAAACAATTCACATATAAGACAGACAACTCTTAATATTATGTCTTAAAAACTAATATGGTATTAGGGTATTCTACTTTTCTTAACAGCAAAATAATATACTCTAAAATAATAATAATAATAATAAGAGCAGTGTTAGGGGCACTCGCCTCCTGCACTCTCCGGCCAACATTCCTCCTTTCATTGGGCCACGTTATTTTAGTTCTACAAGAGGTTCCCTTCAGGGCTTAAACAACCTTACTTGGCCCAATGAAAGAGGGAGTGTTGGCCGGAGAGTGCAGGAGGCGAGTGCCCCTAGCACTGCTCTAATAATAATACACCACCGGTTACAACATTAAAAAGTACTGTGAATAAATATGCTACCGGGTGATATGATCAATGAAGGAATCCCACTCTGCACGAGAAACGCCACCATCCGCCACCGACCGCCGCATTGCTTCTCCAAGTTCAGCCGCCCTCTTCCTCACTTCTGCACCTTCCTTCGACGCCATCAGCCTTTTGACGGCATTCTCAACAGCCGCCGCCGTCACCACCTCATCTTGCCGCTCCCAATTTCTAACAACAATCCCAACCTTCAGCAATTTCGTAATCAGCACCGCATTCCTCGGCTGATCGGAATGTATTGGCCACGTGCCTATCGGAACTCCCATGGTGATGCTCTCCAAGCACGAATTCCATCCGCAATGACTCACAAAGCTTCCGGTGGCCGGATGGGCTAGAATTTCCAGCTGTGGCGCCCAGTCTCTGACCACCAACCCCACATCTTTCACCAAATCTTCAAACCCTTTAGGTAGTGCGGGCAGCAGTCTCCCTCCTTCTCCGGCAAAAACATCTCCTTTATCTGCATCTCTCAAAACCCATATGAATTTTTGGCCGCTTTGCTTCAACCCCATTGCAAGATTCTTGATTTGTTCATCACTCATTGCGGTGGTTGTCCCAAAAGACACATAAACCACGGAGTTCTCCGGCTGCCCGTCAAGCCATTTCAAGCAGAAGTTCCGGTCATTTGACGGCGCCTTCTTCTCCACCGTGATCTGAACCGGATTAAATGGGCCTAAAGCCCAATGCTTTTCTCCGGTCAAGGTTTTCTCAAGAAGATCCATGGAAGTACCTGCATGTAGAGAATTAATGTTTATGGAAAATATTTTTTAAATAATACAAGTATCTAAACTTTTAACTCGAACTAATAACTAATGTAATCAAATTGGTATATATATCTATATTCTATGATGTTTTAACTTCGCTCTTTACTTCTGTTGGTCAAGATTAGATTGTTATATAATTAAGACGAGGTTATATAGATGCATCTTAATAGTGTTGTATATCGTTTGTAGTTAACTAAATCAAGGATATGAATTTGATTTGGTACTAGATTAGTGTAAGATACTGTTTGATTGCAATATGGCAAAATTTTCAAATCTTTAATATGAGATGCTTGAAACTAGCGCTTGTATAAGGCAATCAAGAGGCGAACTTTACAGGTGGATGACTTGTTTGTTGCTATGTACCCTATAAAAGACAAGCGAATTGTGCTTCGAAACCTTAATTTTCCAACAGTACCTTCTATGGCCTTGCTTGTGTTGTATATTTTGCCGGAGTTGGAATTCAGGTACCGGTGCTGAAAGTCGATGAAATCCAAGAACTCCGGCGAGAAGCATCCTTCAAGAGAGGGAACATCTTCAAGGAACTCTTCACTTACTTTTATGGGTTTACCCTGTTTTTCCCATATGTAAAGGAAGATTGTAAAAGCAGAGACACTATGGAAAGTGTAGGATTCTGCATTTGGGATGGAGGAAACGTCCTGAATCACATACCCCGTGAGAGAATCATGGATGACAATAACTCTCTTTGATTGAACAGAAAGCGAGCGTAAGAGCTCCACCAGTGGCGCGCGGAGGTGCCTGGAAGCGTCGAAGGCGGGTTGGAGATGGGAAGGGAATTTAATGGTAGCATTAGGGTCAGGAGGAGGGGAAAGGAATGGAGGGATTTCGAAGCCGTGGAAGTGGATGTTGGCACTGGCTAAGGGGTCCCAACCGTGGACACGGAGCTTGGCCTGGCGGATGTGGGTGGCGGTGCAAACGTAGTGGACAGGGATGTGGTAGGAAAGGAGGAGGCGGGAGAGCTGAAGGAGCTGGTTGAGATGGCCTTGAGCTGGAAATGGGATCATTACTGCCACCACTTGTGGCTGTTTCCGGCCATTTGGACCACCATGGTACATATTTTGTTGGTGAGGTTTAAGATGAGCTATTTCTTTGATGTCTTCTCTCCCTATGTCGGAGGTTATATATAAGCACATATAAGAGCCGTGGAAATTAAGAAACGTTCAAAGAATGTTAAATGTTTTTCATCCTTTCTCTTCCTTTTTTTTTTTTTCTCTTTGTTGATTATAGCATAATTATTATTGTCTTTAATTGATACTACATTCAGATAGTATATAGAGAAATCCAAATTATTAGAAAATGGGTTTCGTCATTTGTATGTTTAGAATTTGAACTTTCATTCTCTATCTTCACTTCTCGCCCTCATACGGGTTTTAACTTGTTGACATACCCCATAAAAAATATTACAT